TTCTTCCCCCCAACCTTTTAAGTTAAAAAGGGGGATTCCCCCCCCCCCCCAAAAGCCAATACATCCATTTTATATGAACCTACTAATCTATTTATATGAACAACAAAAAGATCACATTTGTAAATGTTATTATAAATACATTTTGAAGGGGTGTAAAACTTTCTGCTTCAGGGGTTAAGCCAAATGAAAAGAATTAGGGAACTGATCACACTGTTTGCCCCATACAAGTTCCATGCCCCTCTCTTAAAACTTTTAGAATTAGTCCCTTCTTATTTTTCATCTTGTACTCTTGTCATGAACCAGATATTTTTTCCAGAATCATGTAGAAGTGATGGCTGTTTCTGTTGCTGCAGTGAGGTCCTCCTTTGTAGAGATCTCACCACGTCAGCAAATAAGCAGATGTTCCATGGTCTGCATTTCAGCATTCTCATATCATTAGAGTAGGTCCATTCGACCATGTTTGTTTTTTAACTTCCAGTTTGCAGGCGCAGAAGGTTTGGTTCAGGCATCACCATGTTGACCAGTCCATATCAGTTTCTTTGGTGTGACTATAAAGTGGATGCCTGGGGTCTTTCATCTACCATGATCTTTCTTTTTGGCTCGCTACCTTTCTTCTGATAACAGGTGGTGAAATGTCAACCAGTAAGTACAGGCTATCCATAGCTTCAGACATCCTATTATTTCACAACAGCTGTCATTTAGAACTGGGTCTATTTTCTTGGCTGAAGTGATCATTCCCATACTGCACATGCATACTCCACAATGGAGTAACACAAGGCAATAACAGTGTTTTGTAATGTAACTGGGTTCACTCCCCACTTTAAGGTGGCCAACTTTCAAAGTATGTTGTTGTGTACGGTGACTTTTTCTTTCAGCTTCTCTACATGTACTTTGAAGGTAAGTGTTCAGTCCAGTGTAACCTCCAAGTTAGGAGGGATTGGGTGATTAGTCAGTGGAATTCCACCCCGGGTAATATTTAATTTCTGCTTGGCTACTCTAGCATAGGTGAAAGGCTGTGACTTGCATCTTTGTTGAGCTGCCACAAAGCTAGTTCTTATTGTAAAAATCTGAGAGGTTGCTTAGTGCACATGTCTGTTCTTGACAGTGGCAAAGTCCTTCTCTTGAGATGATGCATAGATCATCAGCATATATGAAGCTCCTCATATTGCTCTGTATGGATTGGTCATTGATATATATGTTAAAGAGGATCAGGGCCTCCCACATGGCAGCGTGGTAGCAATTTCATTGTCATCTCAAGTGGCTCCATTTCTTGCACAGTTCTTAGTAAAAATGTCTATTCTCCAAAAGAGATTGGATGAGCTGCACTGGGGAGTAGTCATGTGTCATGTGGTAGTAGATTTGGCAAGCATGCTTCATTGATTGATTGTATCATATGTGACTGCTATGTTCACAAACATAGAACCTGTTATCATCCCTTTCTCAAATCCATATTCTAAATGTTGGGTGATGTTTAGTATCTGGCCAGTGCAGACTTACCTGGTCTAAATACAACTTGTTCTGCTATCAGATGTTGTTTGATATGAGGTGAAAGGCAATTGAGAATAAAGTATTCATAAAGCGTATAAATACAGCACAGGAGTGACACTGATCTGAAGTTCTCTGGGCCAAAGCATCCTCCCTGGGCTTTATCAGAGCTATTATATGGGGCTTATGTATGGCATACTAAAATACTTTTCCACCAGATCACTTTTTCATCTAACCTGTATTTTAGTCTGTTTATTTAGAGCTTTATTACTGAGCAGAAGCTGGTAAGCCACTTGCTTGGCTGTGATGTTGTGGTATTGCTGTACTTTTGTCAGGTCTTTACTCAGCTTGCAAATGGTTAATCATGCTTTCCTTCTAGTGTGGTTCATATCTATTCCTTCAATCAATTCTTTCCATTTCCATGTTCATATCTATTCCTTCCATCAGTTCTTTCCATTCACCTTTGTTTTTGGAGTTTATTAGTTAGGGCTGTCCCTGCTACAATAGTGCCTTCTGAAAAAGGGTCTCTCTGAAACATTTGCTGGTATTTTATATATTCAGCTGCTAACATGGAAGTAAATTCTGGTATGTACTCAGTTTTGTATCCTGAAAGTATATACCTTTTGGAGGTTTTGCACAGTGCATTCACAAATAGCTCATAATTATCCAAGACTGGTTCAATGTGTGCCACTTTTTTTGTGAAGGTCTTCAGAAAATCCTCTCTAAAATGCTTTCCTAAAATTGAAGCATCTGTGCACTGGTACCATATGTGGAGTTATGGCTGCTGTGACATTGATAGCAATTAGTCTTTCCTGTTTGTAGGGGATGGGTTCCAGCATGTCTTTTTTTTTAACATAACTTCAAGGTTGCTGTCAATAAAGGCAAGGTCTGGTTTATAGCACCATCTCTGTCGGGAGCTAGTCAAAAACCCAGGTAGATCAGGCTGAGGTGGTTTGCCTCAGCCTATATCTTGATCAAATTACTATTTTCATTGTTTTCACTGTAACTCCACGTGACATTGTGGCTGTTCAAGTCACTGAAGATCACACATGCTTTTCTGTAGTCTAGGTCTCCTGGGCTTACACATGCAAAACACTTCCATGGAGGCTTTAAAACAGATGTTGTAGAGATGTTGTCCATATCAGTGGTCAAGATTTCAATGCCAATGTTGTGTTGAGGATGGCTCTGGTTTTATAAAGATAGAACTGCCTTATTTCTCGTGCTTCCTGTTGATGGCTAATCTCATCCCAGGGATCAATGGCTTATTGCTGTTTGGCCCTTTGTGTGTCTCTTGGAGACAGAGCATATGCCACTTGTAATTGGTGTACATCCTGGAAACAATGTCCTGTATTGGTCACTGATGGAGGTAGAACATTGGAGCTGACAGATCTTGGGTCTCATCTAATACAGAAATTCCAGTGTTCTTAATCAGTAAAACTGATCAACACCAGTAACTCCTGAAAGATTAAACGGTCTGAAAAAAAGTTTCCTTGACTAAAACATACTAGCTAAAACAGGAGCAATGCTACCCAGTATCTACTAAACCTTATTTACTCCATAAAACATTGATATTATTAACAGAAGCTGTGTTCCTGATTTAATCTTTTCTTCTGTGCTTTTTAGGGAGTGCTTTTTCTGAAATCCTGGATATCTCTGCTTTTACATTATTATCTAATATAGTAACAATTGATATTAAATAGTAAAAAAACCCCTCAAAACTAAAAAAACATATTTCATGACCAAGCTGTAATCAGAGGCTTATTGAACGTGACAAGTATGTTATACAGTAACTGGAGACCTACACAATAATTCATAGCTAATATATAACATAGTGTAAAATATAAGCTGTAAAAATCAGAGGGAAAAAATTGTTTATGCTAAAAGTGAAATCCTCCAATTAAAAATAATTATCTATTGTTCCATTAAAACTAGACTAAGCTTATAATGGCATAGTTATTACTTGATATGCCAATCACTTGCTTTTTAGGCAAATTGAAGAGCAAAATGTATTAATCCAAAATAGCTTACATTTATAAGTTAAGGATAAACAGCCATTTCACAGGCTTACATGATATTGCTTATAGCATAAGGTATACATATTATATACTCACACATATATGTATGTACATACAGATTTTTATACAGTTTTTCATGCAACTCATAGTGCCAAACCATCAATTGCCAGAGGTATAGGACAAATTAATTTGTTGTTTTATACTGCATTTGGAGGGAGGGGAAGGGGGAGAATCAGCAACACTTTTCTAGGCTTTGTAAATTTGTTACGATGCATGCTTATCAATGAAAAATCTGCTATGCAACATGTCTGTATTGGCAGATAGAGGACATGTGATATAACAATGGACATATTCCTATTGGTAATCAATGATTAAGCAAGATTTCCCAAGCTCACTAATTAGATTTTTAGCCAAGTAATTGGTGATCTTATCTGTAATTATGCATTGAATAGAAGGAACCTTGAGGTTGTTGCTAAATTAAAAACAAGCTGTAATGAAGGTTAAAGAAAAATACTTCCCATTCCCCAAAGTTTTTTTTTCAATGTAATTAAAAAACCATGGAATGCTTAAATGCTGTCTATATAATGCAGCTGAATTGAAAATGAAATAACAGTTGAAAATGAAAAAAGTATAACAAGATAAAAATCAAATATTAACAATGACGATCTCGGCATGAGAATTAGTATTTGCAAAAGTTAACCAAACATTCACAAGAAATGTCCTAGCCCATTATCACTTTTCAGCACTGTTCATATAGAAAAGCCTCAGCTTTCTGCATACTTATGTGTATTGCACCTCAGTATGTGTGTAAAATCAGT